ATTATACAATGTTCGATTTACATTTTTTGTTCTTTTTCCGTTTTGGCAGTCGGTGTTCCCGTTCATCAAAACCATGTCGATTATAATATAAACTTCGATTTTAAAAGGAATTCGATTTTCACAACTTTTCAAACAAAATAAATCTATTTGTCTCTTTGTTTTGATTTAAATATCGACATTTAAAAAAAACAATGGATATCCCTATGGAATGCAACTTGACCACTCAATTCTTAAGAGTACTATAAGAATAAAACGCAGTGATGTTTCAATTGGTATAAATTCGGAAAATATTACATACTTCCTATAGCTGCACATGCACGATATTTATTTTTGTACAACCATATTCCATACGCGTCGCGGTTGGATAGTCGGCGACAAGGTAGCTCAATGGTAGAGCGCCCGTCTAGAGATAGGAGGGTCCCGGGTTGGACGTGCATTTTCCCATCTCCTGTTACACATGTATGTCGCCACATGTATGTCGCGTCAGAGAAGAATATTTATAATACATGTACTCTGAATAGTGTTCTGAAACTTGTGATTTATATTTATTTGTTCTGTAACAGAAAGATGAAACTTTCAATTGTTATAACAATATACAGCATTTCATATAGCGCCCTATCTAGCTAACATACGCCACTCTAAAGCGCTTTACAGTACATAGATATATACATTGAATACAATTATCATATACACAAATCAATACATTTTTTGAGGAATTCGAAGGAGCTGCCTTACCAGGCGCTAACTACTAGTCATAGTAGCTAACTACTAGTCATAGTAGTTAGCTGGCTAATATCGCCCTATGTGTGTATGCCTGCGTGTGTGTTGGAAGTTGGAGATGTATTGTGTTCTCTTTGTAGTGGGACCGTGCTTCCAACGGTATCATTTATAGTGCAACCTCACTTGAATGCTACAGCACAGATACCGTAACATTTACCCCAGACTAATTTATACTCCACCTGGGTTGTTGGAGTTGTGTGGGCAGGAGAAAAACACTTTCTCTGAATGCGTACGACGACTTCGGGGGTCGAACCCCGGCCGCCTGTGTGGAAGGCCGGAGTGTTAACCACTCGACCAATCCGCCCACATTAATTCCTGCTTACTTTCATAATGTGCATATTTATAAGCAACCAAGATGTATATCATGATATAGAAAACATACAATGCGATGATTTTATGAAGCAATCCCATTGTTTTTTAAATGCTTGGAGCTAACCAACAATTAACGTATACATTAGTTGTTTACCTAGTAAACTATATAAGTTACCTAATGGTAATGTAAACAGCCGCACATGGTTTCGTTTTCCACTGATATCTTATTTCTTTTATTTCATCTATTCTTCTATATTAGTATTTTATATATGACCAGGGACAGTATATAGATATCACTATACGTCCCTGATATGACTGATCAAATAACTTGACATAATTTGTTGTGCGCCTGTCAGGCGCGTAGCTGCCTATAGGCAGAATAGGCAACTGCCTACACATAAATTCTCATAAATACACTTTTTTTTACTGGTCCTTGTTTTTGTCGATTACATGTATAACATGAGACTCGCATACACACACACATACGAGACGACTAGCTGCCTGTGTCCATACAGCCTTATAGGCCTATTGTTGTACTGAGAACAGATATATATAATATATACATTTATATTAGAGGTGCAGGGGCGGGTCCAGGTGAGGGCCGCGTAATGGGATTACATTAAAAAAAATCCCCCAAAAACTATCGTAATCTGCTAATATTGTATTTAATATGGCAATTTATCATATTCATTAATTAAACATTTATCATATTCATTAATTAAACACATACTCTGATTTCTTTTTATACTGATTCCCCCATACGATGGGTGATCCGTAGTTTTTTTAGCAAAAAAACGGTCCAATTTTTTTTCCGCCTCGCGTAGACTATCTTACCTGGGACTGCTTCACATACACAGGGATGCTGTAGCTGTGCTGTAGATGTTGATGCTATTGTTCGCCAGTTTGCTGCCCGGATAACTCGGCGATTACAATTTGTCTGAACTCTGTCTGACCTCTGAAATCGTTCAGTTAACTTGTACATACTGACTTTGGATAACGCCTAAAACATTTATTCACATAAATCACTGATGTTGCCCATCATAAAGTATGCATATTTGACAAAATGTGTGATATAATATGGAATAAAATATATTTCCCGATATTTTTTTTACAAAAAAATGAGCTTTATTTTCATTATTTAAACTATTGAAATTGCCAGCGGAACACGGGAGATTGCTCCTAAGGCCTTCTATTATTCCAAATTTTCCTGGGGG